AAAAAGATTAATTTTAGATAATTATTTTTTTTAAGACTAAATATTATTACTAAAATAATTTACAGGTTCAAAAAAAAAAAAAGAAAGAAAAAATATTATCAACATTGTAGTCATAAATTATATATTACTTAAGTTAATCTATTTATCTATCTAAATCAAGATAAAAATAAATACTGTCATACTGTTAACGTTAAATACTGTCATACTGTTAACGTTAAATACTGTCAACAAATACTATTTAGAATAATAAAAAAAAAAAAAAACGAAAAAAACAAAAGACAAATATTGTCAACATTGCAATTATTATGGTAAAATTTTATCACCTAAGGTAAATCATTTGTCTATTTAGTTGAGTAATGTGAATGCAATATACCTATTGTATTACCTAAGGTAAATCATTATTGGTCTATTTAGCTAAATAATATAAATGCAAAATAACCTGTTACAAAAAAAAGACACGCAAAGTAATCTACCAGTTATTAAGGTAATCTTATTAAGGTAAATCCATTAAGGTATTATGGTAAATTTAATTACTAAAGTAAATCTATGATAAAGTTATATCATCTAAGATAATCTAACATTCTCTTTAAATATGAATAAAAATAAATATTTCGCTAACAAATATTATTTAGGATTAAAATAAATTTTGCTAAAATTTCATTCATTATAATAATATTACATTATCTGAGATAATCTATACCTATTTATTTATCGAAGTAAGTAATATAGATGCAAAATATCTGGTATCAAAAAAATTTACATATATATTGTCAACAACACAATTATTGTAATAAAATTTTATTACCTAAGATAATCTATCCATTTATTTATCAAAATACATTCTTTATAATAAATTTTGTATTATTTAAAATAATTTAACCTAATTAATATGAAATGCAAAAGATGTACTACAAAAATAAAATATTATCAAGATTGCTGTCATTCGAATGAGAATATTATATTACCTGAAATAATTTTACCTATCTAATTAAGATAATTAATATGAATGCAAAAATACCTGCTACAACACCAATTAAATAGTGTATGACGGGTTCAAAATAACCAAATTGTTCAAGCTTTCGATTATAATGCTCATTACAATAGCCTACAGTAAGCATCGTACAAAATGAAATCGGAATATAGCTAATAGTTGAGTTTTTTTTTTTTTTTTCACAGTAGCATCTGATTGATGATTGACCTTAAAATACAACCAAACAATGAATTTAAATATGATTTATTTTAGTAAATTAATCATAAATATATTATCATTATTATTATCATCATTATTATCTACATTTAAATTTGCATATTTTAATATTAACAGGAAATTATTTCATCCCACCGATGATCAATTCAAATTATGTAAATTAAAAACTAAAAATGCAACTTCTTAATTAGTCCAAATTTCATTTACTGGTTGTTATCACGCTTCTTTTTTTTTTTTTATTTTAGTAAATAAAAGTTACACGTGAAGAATCAATGATAAATAAAACTGAGAAGAAAGCAAAAGCTAGTGATAAAACTTTCATTTTTAAAAGTAATTTTAGTTAACATGATCAAGTATATATTTTTGTAACTAATTATTTGTTTCAATTAATTCCCTCCTTATCTCTCTTATAAACCTTAATTAATAAATAATTAATTACTAATTTTATTATCGGAATATCGTTACGAGTAATTTCTTACCTTTGAAGATAAGTCTACTTCAGCAAATAAATACGAAATAATGAACACTGAGTGATAGTATTTGTTGAGTTTAATGAACTTAAGCGAATCCCATCCACTCTATGTTTTTTTGTTTTTAACAATTTCATTTTGAGAAATCCTCTAAGTCTGCCACACTTTTTCTCTAGGTTAGATTCCCTGTTTTATCTATGTTAAGCAAAAGGAGAAAGAAAGAGAGAGACCAAGAATATTTTGAAGTTAAACGAAAAGTTTTCAAATCTCTTCCATTCATTTTTCTCAAGTGTAAGTATAAAATTGCATTTGAATTTTTTTAATAAGGCAATCAAAAAATGTCCCAGTGGCACAATATAAAAGATACACGAATAAGGTATATAATACGAAAAAAAAAAAAAGAAATGAATTTCACAAGAAAATCTCTTTTCATAAAGTGATAAGTTCATTGGAAGCCAATTATAATGTATGCACTGATAATGCGCTCACATATCGTCAAGTTTATGTCCAACATTACACAATTTCCTTCTTTCCGCATATATATACAAACACATATCATGATTTTTTGTGATGATAAACTAAAAAAATGGACAAAGAGATAAAATCAAGAGTACCTAGTATTTATAACTAGTAAATCAAAATATGTAAACAGAAGGAAGAACTACATTAAATTAAAAGGTACAAAAAAGCAGGTAAGGGTAGAATTGAAAGCACATCGAACAGAAGAGTTCGGTACAAGTTGTCGGTACAATAACTACAGTAAGGGAAGTATTGACGAGACAGTTATTTCAATCAGAATCCAGAAAAAAAGGGATTTGCATCCTTAATTAATAACCTCTAAGGCCTTAAATCTTATGTGAATGACATAAATGGATTTAATGATAATAGTTGGGAAGATTTATCATCTCGTTTCTCTATCACTGCAATTAACTAAGCAGTGCATTAACCAACCGACCCTGACTTTCAGGACAACTTGATTTGTGAAGTAAGGCAATAAAATGAGACCGCAGTTAAACGATAACAAGAGACCAAACAACAACAGTTCCTGCATTCATAACTTCTTCGGCAAAAATATTTTGTACAAAAAATTTTTGTTCCAGAAGAAATGCATACATAATCTACTAGAAAGCCGTGATAGTATATTGCTAGAATAGAATGGAATAAAACGACGAAAAGCTGGAAAATTATAAGAAAACAAAGGCATAAAGCTGAAAGGCACTGCATGATAATGTCGGAAGTATTGAACTAACTCACTAATCTAATTTTAACTAAACGAAAAACCAGACGAAAACAAAAAATGGAATTCTTTGATAAAGAAAAAAATTAAAAGACATTAACACTTTGGGTATAATTAAATAGTTTAAAGTTAAATCATAACTTTGGAATATGTCACGAGTCTCACCTGAAATATTTCATTTCAAATCCTCTTAATACACTTAAAAGACTTAGCATAACAAATATATTTTTGAAGTGGAAGTCAGGTTGTGGAAATAAAATCAGATTTTAAAAGAACAAAAGTAAGTGTAATATATACTGTAAGGCTTTCAATTAGATGCAAATGGTGGAACAATTACTTTCCTTCTTTCCCACGAATGGATTGAGAACTGGATGACGAAGAAACATCTGTTGTTGACTGAGTGCTATCAATGGTAAAATTTTTGATTGAATTCCAAATTTTTGATAAATGTGGCACTGGACTACAGGAGCGTCCCGCATCTGCAGCATTCAGAAGATTTGTTGAAGCTGAACAATTGGTCGTTAAGTTACCAGCCAATAATTTTGTTCCTGTAATGGTTAAATTTAAATTTATTCATGCATCAACTTTGAGCAACAGTACAGAAACATTAGTTCCAATAAAATTGACGTGCTATATTTGTTTCACGTTACACGTTTGCAATAACGCAATTATATGATACCGCTTACAAATAACAAAGTCAACTCAATTTTCGAAGAACGAATTTTACAGGGAAATAATAAAGTCACAAAGAAGCCAATTAATTTGGTCGACAGCATAGCAATGTCAGACCGAGATACTGCAGTTCGTAGTTGTGAAATATTATATCAAGTATCACTTAACACTTATATCAAGTATCACTTAACGTTTGACAATTGCAACAACTTGACAGGATGATGACGAAAATAAACTTTAACTATGAGTTAACGGAAAAAAAATAGAGGAAAGAAAACTGCGATATTAGAACTAGAATACTATAATATTATTGAATGGAATAAAAAGGTGTCGAAGAGCTAACTGTATATTACACCAATCATATGTGTTCAAAGATCAGTGTAATTTATACAATACGATAGTAGCATCTCGATTTCTCTCATAACTTAAAGTTTAAAGAATTACTTCCCAAAAAAAGTATCAGTTCTTTTATCGGGTATCCGATAAACTTTTTCCAGCTTCTCTTTAAAAGAAGAAGGGAAACACAGACAGAACAAAAGCAAGTTAGAGCATCCAAGAAGACAGCTGACCGATACTGCCACCAAGAGGCAGGCTGCCACGTCTTCCGCTGCTGCTTGATTGTTCAGTAGTTTCCTGATCACGTTCAATAGAAGTATAATTCCCACTTCTTCGTCTTTCCTCCAAACAGTGCTGTAACGCCACGGGTGTCAACCATTCTCGCGGCAAACAACGCTCCAAAAACGGTATTGAATGTGATACGGTAGCAAGTCGATTTACCCAAGATGGTATCTCTTTTCCGGTCAGTGTCTAAAAGTGGGTAAAGAGTAATTATAACCGTAAAGTTCTGAAATATTAGAGAGGTATATCATAAAGAAAAGTTGTGAAAATGAAACTGGAATGAAATTCTGCACCTGCTGAATTAAAAAAGAGATTTTCCATTCAACGAACACAATGGACTCAGTAAATTCTTATTCATTTATAAATCGGCTGGTTCATATCTACTTTATCAATATTCTATTTATTTTCATATCTACTTTATCTGTACTCTCATATCTACTTTTTACAGGGTTTTACTTCCTTAAATGACACTGATTTCTCTTGAAGTCTTCTTTTAACAGTGGCTCGTACATAGCCCATATGCCATATCAAAATATGAAATCCAACTTGACAACATTATAAATATTTCATTGCCTAACAGGTGATAGTTTGAACACATTGATGGCATGCAATATATGTTTTCATTGCTGTTATAGCACTATTTTCAAACTATGTATTTATGTCTTTCGTTTCACCGTAAAATTTTGTGTCATCTATTAAAAGCCTAAGGTCACTAAGTAAATAAAAGTGCTCATTGAATACCTTAGCCAAAGCAGCTGTGAAATGATTGCAATTTTTTGAAATTAAATGATATTTGTCGCCTCTGTATTCACTTCCCAACATCTGGATAAGATGTTTTATGTCAGTAGCATTGAAATCGGTCTCGCCAATAAGGATACTTTCTCTGAAGACATCTATTTTTTAGAGAATAATTCCGCCAGCAATTTTCACAATGCCTGTCAATATGGCTAGAAAAAAAAATATCAAATAAAGTTAAACAAAATTACTTACTTGAACTTAAAATTCTCACCCAACTCTTCTGCATCTCTCGGTGAATTTTCGAAAATTCCAGAAAATGGGAACGGGTGTCCACCATAAGCATATTCTGGAATGGAAACAATGTTAAGAATGAGAACATTTTAATAAATGAATTTGAAAATTAAATTTTTTGGTTAAGTAATGGATAAAACAGATAAAGTACGTTGCTGAACTTTAGTGAAGATATCTTGAGACATGTATTAATTTTATTTCTTGAAAGAAATTACACTTACCAACACCATATACTTCAATGCCTGTATGGTATACTCCAAATCCAAGAGTGGAGGCATAATCGTTCAACCAGTACTAAAATAATAGGATGTTTTAATAAATTTCAAATAAATTACATTTCAATATCATGCAATCAAATTTGCGATAAAAATTGAGGAAGACCGCAACAGATATATTGTAATCTAATTGAAATATCAATTACTCCAGCTTCTTCAGTTTCAAATTTCTTATAGATCTTTTGGTGAGTTGGTATTTTTCCATATATGCAGGGTTAAATTTCACCCACTGAAAAGATAAGAGAAAGAAAACTGCCTTACTGTCACTCGAATACATATGCTGAGATATAAAAATTAAGCTAAGCAAAATCAAACAATATCAAGCTAGAAATTTTTACAACAACCATAGCATCATATATCATATACGTGATAGCATTAGTCATTAAAAAAAAGAAAAAAAAAGAAGTGATATTCAGTAACAAGAATGATGAAAGCTTACCATGTCGTAAACATTCAACCTTACTGGAGTACGTGCCATGTTTGATGATTGATATCCTTTCTTACGAGAGACAAAGGGCCAGAATCAATTAAGCAGTAATTAAATCACATATAATAAGAACCATATTTCTCTGATTGTCGTCAAATGATAGTCCAATTATGACCCGATTATGATTATGATTAGTATGATTGTCCGATTATAAATGGATATTGGTATGGATAAAATGTATTGACCAGAAATATTGCTATTATTTGCACCAATGAAGATAATTTAATTTGTCAGTATTATACAACCTTAAATAAAGCATTTATTTAATTTGTAAAAATGATAAATTTATCACTTATGTATATATTTATACATACATACAAGCAAAGTATTTACATAAAATTATTAATAAGTAATAACAACTAGCTATCCATCATTCAGTTATGCAATTTAATATTTCTTGTCATTAAAATTGTTAAAAATGCAAAAATAAAATAATGGAACAGCTGAGAAGAAATATTTCCACTCAATATTACTGCCAATGCCTTCATCCCATCCCAATTTATCTTCTCTCGTGACTCTTATCGATGCACTGCTCACTAACGGAAAATTCCTGTTGAAGCATATGAACATAGTAAGAGAACTTTAGATAAAGCCAGAAATTTTGGAAAATCCTTTAATTTTCTATATACATATATATATATATATATATAACGCATATATCTAATGCCAAATCTAACGTAAACATATATCTCTATTAGCTAAGTATGAATCACATTTATATAATAGTTCTCTATGCATCACATATAAACGCCACTTTATCACAGAGCATAGACCACCTCAATGATTCACGAATGCTATCAGTATGTGATAATAAAAAAAAAAAAAAAAAAAACTACATCAGAATAGTAAACAATCTGAGAATAATTTCATCAATTTTGAATAATTGCCAACGATGACAAATATACTCTGTTTTTGCTTAACAAATGCTAGAATCGAGTTAATCAACTTAAAATGAAACACGGATATTCCGTCAGTAAACTGGTAAGTTCACGCATATCATGTAAGTATATTGACAATTAGGCTAATTAAAGTAATGGGAAGAAATTAGGCCAATTATTCAATTGGAGAGAAATTATATACTTGTTAATTGTAAATTATCATGTTTTTAGGTTTATTATCAAGAAAGCTCCATTCAGTATTGCTATATCATGGTTCCAACGGTTATAATATGTAGGAATTTTGGGGATTGTAACAGGTTATGGAATCTCAACTAGCGTATTACGGTAAGAAATCCCAAGAATTATATTATGCCACATAACTCCAAGTGACTAACATGTACAACCCGTGAACTCCCGAAAAACTAACTAGCTGACAAAAAAAAACAAAGCTGGCACCTCTTGAAGAATTATCCCCCCAACACCATTTAAAGCAGCGATATGCAACCATTGTATCCTAGCCATCATCGTGATATAATTTCAATTTGGGATTGAACTTAATTTTGCGTTTTTAAAGTGTTTTATTTGCTATAAAATAGAAACATTTAGGAATGAATCATTCCAAAAAATTTTTCAAATTCTTCACTGAATGAAATGGTGGTTTGTTAAGAGTTTGATCGAGGTTGAAAAAAATTATTATTATGTTAAAAATGTCAATTAGAGAAACTTGTAATTGACATTGTTATCATTTTGTTTTCTTTTCTTTTGCTATACATTCATGAAAAACAGATGGATAAGTATAACCCTAACATTTATATGATAACGTATGACTAACATTTATATTCACACAGTCAAAAAAATCTGAGATATCTCGAATTATTTTATATTATGTTGGGAAAACTTCAAATGATTCCTTTCTTCAGTTGTTTTTTTTTCTTCAGTAAGAACACCTGATATATTGCTTGATGCATTAAGAGATATTTTTAAATCTTCTGATTGAAAATTTTCCAAATTTTGACATTTATCTTTATCTGTTAAGATTATCACTGTTAAGCAATCATTTCATTGTCACATATGACGGAAGACTTCTAAAATTTTTCTTTGATCGCTGTAAAGCATTCTTGTTTTTGTTTTTATGATCAATTGAAAATATTTTTTCAGACTAAAGTAAAATTCTCCGAAGATAACTTGACCTTAAAAAATATTAGCAAGATAAATAACTTTTAATTGAAGTATAAGAATGATAAAATTGCATGCCAAGCTCCTGATCATCCTTTGATCTAAAATGATAATTTTAGCCAGAGAATTTTGTTTCTGTTATCAGCAAATGCGATCAGAGATCAATCGAGTGAGAATTTTTTACGAGAAATATTTGTAAAGAATAAAAAATTATTCTAGAAAACTTCAGAATGGAAAAAATAACTATGAATTTGTATTTATATTTTTATACCTATATATTCTCTACCTATATCTATTATAAATTTATATTTTCATAATTTATATTTGCATATTTTTAAATTTATATTAAAATGTTTAATAGTATAAAATGAAAGAATGGGTGAATTTGGTATAAACAAATTAAGAGAGGATAAAATATTCAAATAGATTGAAAAAGAATCGAATATTTAAATAAATAAAGGAAAGATTTTGTAAATAAGAATTAAATATGATAATAGATTTAAAAAATTTTAAACAAACTGAAAGAAATAAAGCATCTAAAAAATCAAATAAGCTAATTTTTTACTGCTTAATTTGATGGAATTCTTCCACCGAATTAAACATTTATGCATTCATCATTTGGATGATAAATTTTGCATAATTGGAATTGTTTTTTTTTTTTAGCAAAGAATTTTTCTTGAAATTATCCTTAGGAAGCAAATGAAAAGAAGCTATGCGGAAATTTATTTTTAAATGTTTAAATTGGAAAATAAATTGATGATAAAAAAGATTGAATTTGAATGAGAGAAATGAAAAAAAAAGGAAAAAAGAAAAAGAAAAGCGTTTAGTTTAGATAAAAATGTAATGAAATGGAAAAATGAATAGGAAATCAAAAAAAAGAAAGTGAAATATAATGAATTTTTTAAAAAACTTCGGCAAATTTTTTGTTTCAATTTAAAAAAAAGGAAATCAAATACAAAACTCTTTCTTCAACGAAGACAAATCAATTACTGACAAATATTTGAGTACTTTTCTAAATTATTTGAATTTAACAAATTTTTTAATTTGTATAATTAATGGTGAATTTTTCATTTCAAAATCAAAATAAAAGTGGGTAAAATAAAAAAGAGAATGGGAAATATTTAATGATTTTTTTTTCTTTTCATTTCAATATTTTGTAATGAATTTTTTTTATTTATTC